AGCACAAAAAATGGGCTGAAAAACTCGGCTTATACTCGAGTATATACGGTAATTGCATTTACCAACAGAAAGTCCAGGCAAGAGTTCTGCAAGGAGTTAACTGAAGCAATAGTCCTTATCAGCTCATTATGATAAATGCAAGGCTGTGAACTCCCAGTCAGAAAGCTGCAAATTAAGTCAGAGAAATAGACAAACTCAGTTCTGGCAAGGCAGTCTTCATCGCATGAAATACACCAGGAGTAAACTTTGTAGAAATGCGAGCAGTTGTCTGCTACAACCAAACCACTCCTTTTTCCTCCTATTTATACCCAGCCAGGGAGGGGCCATTTAGCATCCACATTTGTTTTGCTTCTCGAGCCGACTCATTGTCCTCCATTGTTCACCTCTCCTATCTGCTCTGCACATATGCACATCTGGAACAGGCCCCAGCTATTCCTCTTCCTCACTCATCTCTGACTCCAAAGGCAGCTGCCTCTCAGGCTGGGAAATGCCAGACGGCCTTGACTCTATCTCTGTGTCTGATGTTGAGCATATACAGAGCCTTCCCCAGGCTCCAGAACTGGCCCAAGTTTTTCCTCAACCTCCTCAACATCCAGGTCTGCTGCCAGCACAACAAATAGTGGAATAGAAAATGCACTGCCTAAATTGAAATGAATAATACTAAAGGTTGTACGTATTATTTTGGCATCAGGGTAAAGAAAAAAAAAAATCCTTTCACCTTGCTTTACAAAAATATACACTAAAGTGTGCTCTTTCATTATCTTCCTGTAGTACATGGTGCCTATGAAACTTACTTCATTCAGCTGATAAATATATACAGGATATTAATTTCAGGCTATTTACATTAAGGTAAAGTAAAGGTTCCCCTTGCGCATACGTGCTACTTGTTTCCGGCGGGCAGTGCTGATCTCCATTACAAAGCCGAAGAGCCAGTGCTGTCCAAAGATGTCTCCTTGGTCATGTGGCCGGCATGACTAAACACCGAAGGTGCACAGAATGCTGTTACCTTCCCACCAAAGTGGTCCCTATTGCATTTTTTACATGCTTTCGAACTGCTAGCTTGGCAGAAACTGGGACAAGTAACAGGAGCTCACTCCATTACGCGGCGCTAGGGATACAAACTGCTGAACTGCCGACCTTTCTGATCGACAAGCTCAGTGTCTTAACCTCTGAGCCACCCCATCCCTACATTACATTAGCAGGATATAGTAATCTGCTGAAGTGTAAGAATTAAGCAAATTAGAGTAGCCACTAATATATCTTTTGAAAGAGGAAGTTAACCAAACCTCAAATGGGAGCACATGGCAAAATCAGGATTTTTTTTATAATATGCATACATTTTATTAGATCTGGAAAAAATAAATGTGATTTACTTTGGCCCTTGGCTTCAAATATGTTTTTAAAGCTGTCTGGTAATGTATTTGTAGAAGTATGTGTCACTCTATATGTACAAGTAAGAAATGTATTTTAAGAAATAATCTTGAGGAAGGAAGTAATATCTTATAATTGGTTTGCGTTACTAAAGCATCCAGAACAGACAACGCATGATGACTGTATCCTTGGGCATGTATCTTTACAGAATTATAAAGATTAATAACAAAAATGTTAATGCATGCACTTTTGTAAATAAATGGCATTGAAATGGCTGATTGGATTGTAAAAAAAAAACCATGAAGGAGCATTACAAAAATGAAATTAAACATTGTAGCTTCCAAATTAGCTATATATTTAATGGGTAAGGGTATTGAAAGTGTACTGTAAACATTTTGCCTCCCAAGTGCAACAGCAGCAGAATTAAATTGCGAGAAGTGAAAAAATGGCATTTGGACAAAAGGCAACAACCTGAGCTTAAAAGGAAATTGTATCAGAAGGTGAATATTAGTGAATGGCGACTACCACATTTCTACTTCCATGTGATTCCATGAATCTTTCTGAGAAACATTGATTCCTAGGACATATCTTGGCACTGTATATGATTTATTGGCTTATGATTATGTCCCGTATCTCTTTTTTTCCCTTGAAAAAGATTGTGGGATTTTTTAAAATAAATCTTACTTCAAGAGAGATCTGAAACAGATGTAACACTAAAGCCCATTATAACTGACTGCCCACTGAATCTTTGTTTCTCTTCTCATATTGGTCCTTTCCTCTGTGTATATTGTTTTAAAAGCTATCAGAAACTCAAAGGTAGAAAACTAAAAGCTTAAAATAAAGAATATGTATTGGAATAAATAGTTACATAAATAAATGCTATAGTTCAAGATCTAAGGCAAAGCAAATTCCCAACATAAAAGAATAAAAGTATATACCTGCATGCACAGGCACTCAGATACACATAGGTAAAACTTGGTTATTTTTGCTGCAGATTTACCTTCGCAGGATTTAGTTTAATCAGCAGTTTCCTCTTTGCAGTCATAACTGCTGTAGCAGTACAGTATGCAAACCTGCACTTCAAACATATGTCTACCTCTTTGTTAGATCCTATTTCTAACTCTGTGATTCTAATTCAAACCTGATATGTACAGAAAAACAGTTAGACTATATGGCTTTCCTGCTTCCCTTTTTTCGCTGCATCCATCAATATTACCTCCAAAGTTTTTCTTAAGAGCAGTCACAAAAACCAAGGATGCTGTGGTGATCTGGAATGGAGAGCAGAAGAGAGGAAATCCATGAAAGCATATGCCACATGAGACATATTAAGTTTTAAGATGGTTTTTCCCCCCCTATCTTATTTTCACATTCTGTTTTCTACATTTCCCCTGGAATTTATTATTTTCCCAGTTCTTTATTTTTGATTTCATTGTAGAAATAAACTAATTTAGCACATTTTTGTTTATGCCTTTGGTTTATTTCAGGTACCAGATCAATGCACGAACTGAGCTAGCTGTGCGCTACAATGATATTTCCCCGCTAGAGAATCATCACTGTGCAGTGGCTTTCCAGATCCTTGCACAGCCAGAATGCAACATTTTATCCAATCTTGATAAGGAACAGTTCAAACGGATCAGACAGGTATGGGTTCAAAGGTAGAGGTTCACAGATAATTGCAACTGAACTCAGCTGGCTTGTCTCAGGATTAAGAAGACTATGCCCTTCAAAGTTATATTTAACTATAATGCTCTAAACTTCTATTGGCCAGGCTTGATATCTGTGAAGATATGAGAGCTGAAGAAGCTTCTTGGATGAGAAGTGAAATGTCTTCAAAGAAAAACAAGAAAGTCCAATTGCCTCTTGAAAAAGCACCTTTGGGATGGCCATGCGTGTTAGAAATACAGTATATGGATGGCCAGAGATTCCCCAAATGTTATTTCCATGGGTTGAAAATTTGAGAGTTTAACATCTGAGCCTATTTTACTGAAATGTCTCACGTGCTCTCTGAAACATATGAAACAGAAAGAGGTCTAGATTTCTGAGCATGCTAAGAGCATGCTAAAAAGTTTTCAGTCTAGAGCTAGAAGGTAAAACCTAGCAAGAAAGCCAGGTTGGTCTAATGGTTAAGATATCTAGAAAGTGGTAGACCATGAGTTCTAGACCTGTCTTAGCATGAAAGCCAGCTGGGTGATTTTGGGCCAGTCATTCTATCTCAGCTCAAACCACCATCACCACCCAGTCACCCCAGGATTGCTGTTATAGGAAAAATAGGACAGGTTAGTGAAGGTTCATTCTCCAAGCTTGTAGATTGGTTTGGAGAATGAACCTTCACCCTCATCATATACCGAGCTATAGATATTTGCCACTATTGCAAAGGAAAATAGTGTGATGAACATGTTCGCCACCCTGAGTTACTGGTAAAAATAATAATCAGGGGATGGTACAGATCCTGGTGATTAAGAGCAGGTGGAATAAAATAAAATAAAATAATATTCTCCTAGGAAACCTTGATAGCCAGCATCTCTCATCTGAGAAATTCAATAGAAGCATCATCAACAGTCAAACCTAATGAAATAAGTACCTCGTAGACAAGCTGGTGCCTTTAAATTAGATTAGATACAATACACATCATTGTTAGTTATAATAGGAATAATTCTTAGTAGTAATTTAACACAACTAGGAAATGATGCCAGTTTGGTGAAGGATATTGCAGATATATTTGGAAAAATATTATAGTTTTTATGTTATAATGTGTTAATATATTTATCTGGTTTTATTGCAAGTTTTTTTTTTTTTTTGTAAAAGTGCTAAAGAAATGCTAAAGAGAAGATGTATAACATAGCACAGTATAACATAACATAACACACATTAGTTTAAAAAAAATCACATTATGCTTTAAATCACAAAACAATGTAAAAAAAACATGTTATACTATACAGATCCTTGATATTTTGTTAAAGTAGTTCTCAGTTCATGCAAGAGCACCCAAGTCAGATCAACCCTCCTGCCATGTAGAAAAGGAGTTAAAATACATGTACATGTTTCCCCTTGTGTGGCTAATAGAAGTTTCAAGATATTTGTACTTAACATCGTGATTATACATCTGATCCAAATTTGCCTTCCATAGCTTATAAAAAAAGATAAATAGCTCGTTTAGATAAAAATAATGTGCTCATAGCTCATTAAAAAAAACTCCTAGCGTAGAGTTTCAGCAAACTTCTGTTCTATGTTTTTCCTCAAAATTGCTTCCTTCTTCAGAATATGTCATGTCCAAAAAATGGGAAAATTGAACAAAGGGTGATAATATGGAAAGTTAGAATAGGTCTGCTTCAAGAAGCATAAACTGTTTTTTTCTTTTTTCTTAAACAATATAGGGGATAATTACATTAATCCTAGCAACAGACATGGCACGGCATGCTGAAATACTGGATTCTTTCAAAGAAACCGTAGATGAGTTTGCCTATTCAAATGAGGAACATGTAACTCAGGTAAGATGCTTTTCTTTCTTTCTTTACATTTAGCTTTTATTCAGATGGAAAGGATTCTACAACTCGACTTAAAGATCAATAAAAAGAGACAATCTTGCTTTCAGGATTGGGCAACCTGACAATCTTTTTGCATTCCTGGAACCTCCATGCATCCAAAAACCCCAGCCTTGTGGTTTTTTTATCATCTAAAGATGGAAAAATGCATAAAAAAATGATAGTAAGCCTTAAAACTGAGCTTTTCCATGAATTATTTATAGCATCCCTGGAATAGCTTGGCAACCACAGTTCCCATGAAGCTGACCTTGTCTCATTCTGGGCCAGGAATAGTAATATAACTATTTCAGAGCAATCCTACCCATGTGTAGGGAATCTGTGACCCTTCAGATGATTCTGAACCACAGCTTCCCACAGCCCAACATTGGCTATGCTTATTTAAACTTCTGGGAGTTATAGTAGTGAAACCTCTGGTAGACCATAGAGTTTCCATTTATTGTCCATGTTCAAATGCTGAACTTCATATCACCATTTTGTTGAACATCAGTTTTTATCATTTTAACTTTCCACAGTGAACAAGAAAGCAGATGAGTTGAGGACAGGCTGCCTTGGCGGATATGTAAAAATATGCTTTTACTCTCTACAATTAAATGGAGGTGCAGGCAACCAGAACAAAATCTGATTTGGGGGCCCCTCCTGTTATACAGGGAGCATTACAGAGAGCCCATTGTTTCAAACAAATCTTATTGGTTCCACTATTAATTTCACTGCTGACTTTCCACAACAAAGTGGAAGAAATACTGGCAGATAAAATATAAAGATCTCACATTGTAAACTGTTTTGCTGTTTTCAGTTGAAGATGATTTTGATCAAGTGCTGCGATATCTCCAATGAAGTTCGCCCAATGGAAATAGCAGAACCATGGGTGGATTGCTTATTGGAAGAATATTTTATGCAGGTAAAAAGATACACGTTTATCACCATAATGATTTATATTTTTAAATTCCACCTGAAGTTTATTCAATAACAATGCTGCCATGCTAGAATCACAGGACTGTTTCTGTTATAAAGCATAATGAGAGTGGTAGTAGATACCAGGAAAGTGGAATAGCGGCAAGGGCAATCCCCACATAATCTCCCTTTCACATAAGGATCTGCAAGCTCAATTTGTCTTTCCCGTTATACCAAAATTTAGCTAGCTTCCCTCTACGGGAGACAGTAGATGTTACGTTCTGGTTATTGTTACACTAAGATTCAGCAGCCAAGCCGGTTGCCCTTCTGCCCCTGGATGATGGAGTGGGAAGTTTGGGACACCATTTTGTGTCCATTTGGTTTTTACTAGAAAAAATATGTTGGACTGACTCTGTGGGTACACTATATTGAAAAAATGCTTTCAGTAAGATTTCGGTCTAGCTGCACATTGCTGCAGTTTGCAAACTAGAAAGATGATAATAGTCAGATAGTGTAACTATTAATGGAAAACTGCTTGCTCTCTCTTGCCAGTCAGCTCAGCATATAAAAAAAATTGAAACTCAAGCAAGTCAGACTTGAGGCAATACAAAGCACAGCTAACGAAGCCTAGGTGGGTCAAGTGGTAGGTGCTGTTACATAACTAAGTTAGTTACATAACTAAGCTTGTAAATAAGCCTGTAATCAGTGAAATAATGTTAAGAGAAAGAAAGGAGAGGAAAGTCTGGTAGTTTTTAATAGAATAGTCAAGTTAGTTCTGAAAGATCACTTTACTAGACCCTCTTTTGGAGGCCAATAACCTTGTTGCAGATCAATTGATTTTATACATTTATATTACAGTATGTATAAAAGTTTGTGTGTTTGTAGACAGACATTTATACATACTGTAATATAAATGTATAAAACCAGAAAAGAATAGCAGCTCAGATTATATCTTCTTTCAATTAATCTGCATCACCTGTATATTTATTCGCAATACTTTTGATGTGGACTTAATTCCTACCTTTTATTTTGAAGGGGGAAAAAAAACTGATGCAGGGCCTAATTTAGTATCTGTCTGTCATTTAGAAGTAGGAACACATCAGTCTCCTGTTTAAAAAAAAAATCCAGACCCACATGAGTAAGAGTCAGAGATGATTCCAGTGGGAAAATGATGCATCCGTAGGAAAGGGTTAGGCCACTCTTCTCTACATTATACTGCTCCATCCGGATATGAGAGGTGGACATTTCGGAGATATTTATGACACAGTGATCAGTTGGGACTCTTGTTCGAAACTATTTATAATTCGTCTCTGGTTGAGCAGCGATTAGGAAATCCTGCCTGGGCTAAAAGGCAGGTTATATAAATTGCATTAGATATATAACTAAAATGTATAAATGATATGGATTGTATATTAACATTCCTATGATACATTGCTATATTTGTTGTAGAGTGACCGGGAAAAGTCTGAAGGCCTTCCAGTGGCACCTTTTATGGACCGTGACAAAGTAACCAAACCATCAGCACAGATTGGCTTCCTCAAATTTGTTCTTATTCCAATGTTTGAAACTGTAGCAAGGGTAAGGGACTTGGAATATATAATGAAACTCCATTTGACCAACTAAAATGGTGCCCTCATTTAATAGGACCACATACTTTTTTTAATTAATATTTTTTTCTCAGGCTTTTATAAAATATAGGTGTCCATTTCCCAGGGTCCTACTCCCAATCCTTCTCTATCGTAAACAATATAATGTTAGAATATTTTTTTAAATCAATAATAAACAACACTGTTCACTTTTCTTTCTCCATTATGTTAGCTTTTTCCAGAAGTTGAAGAAGTGATGCTCCAGCCACTTTGGGAATCCAGAGATCGCTATGAGGAGCTGAAACAAATAGATGATGCTATGAAAGAAATCAGGACAGCACCTTCTCAGGTATTGCTTTATCTTATTTGTATCCCACTTCTTTTCTAACCAGTCCGCCTGCACATAAAACATTTTCTTGAAAAAATTTCTGAAGTGTTTCTCTGACTCATTCTTCAAAAAAGTAGGTCACTTTGCTTTTCCAAACATTATTCAACCAGTGTATGTATGTATGCATGTATGTATGTATGTATTTATTTATTTATTTATTGTGTGTGTGTGTGTGTGTATATAATGAAATCTTATTAGATCTTGCCATGCCTATCTCATGAGTTTCTGATGAGCTTTGATCATTATTTAATTAGGCATCTGGTTCTTAATGCAAGATCACATGAAGCTGAGTTATTATCTGTCGGCCAATTAATAATTTTGATGTATTTGGTAGCTCACCTAATGACCAGGGGTGGGATTCTACCAGTTCACAGCTATTCTCTAGAACCGGTTGTTAACATTCTAAGCAGTTCAGAGAACCGGTTGTTAGAAGAAATTACTGGCCTAATCCTGTAAGGAAGGCAGGAAGGAAACATTCTGGTGTTGCTTACAGAAACTGCCTCTCCTTTAACCCTTATTACATTCTTGGCAGGACGAGACTTCCTGTCTCAGGAACTTCTCTGGAGTTTTTTTCCCCTCCTTTGCTGGTACTTTGCTTGTGTGGAGTGACCATTCAAAGTTACAATGGCACTGAAAAAAGTGACTTATGACCGTTTTTCACACTTATGACTGTTGCAGCATCTCCACAGTCATGAGAGGCCGGGCGAAGAGATGGGTGCCTCAATGTGAGTTATGTTGAGTTGGCCACACCCAGCAGTCACATGACCAGCAAGCCATGCCCACCAACTAAGCCACACCCACAGAACCGGCTGTTAAAAATTTGAATCCCACCCCTGCTAATGACAATTACATAAATTCAGAGTTCAGCAGTCAATATATCTCCCTTGAGTCAAGCTCACATCTAGCTGACTGAATGGGCATGTCCATTCTGTATTCTTGCCATTGACCTCCTGTTTTTGATTTCCCAGTCTACTTTACAGTCTTGGCCTTTATATTCAAATTTATTCCATTCCTAAAATTCATGTTTCTTCTTGGCTTTGAAGCAAAATTCTATTTTAAAAAACCTTATTATCTACATTCTGTTTGCTAAGGACATGAATGATATCAACTGTGCAACATGTATGATTTATTTTTGTTTCTATGTGCTGATCTGTGTGGGACACAGTGGCTAATATCTAGAAGGTCTATTGTTTGTCCACTCTGGAGGTTAGTTTAAATGACAGCTACAGTTCCCAAGAATCAAATTTTATGTTGTGCAACAGAAAGCTGAGCAGGCTCTAGGCTTCCTCCCAATAGGATAAAGTTGATTTTAACTGGCTGCTCCTTCAAACTGAGTAATGAAACAATGGAAACACTAACATAAAGTAGATTTCTGTGATGACCAGTGAAGCCAGCCTACTAATCAAGTAGGCTTGCAGAAGTTATATCCCACTTCTACCAGAACACTTGAAAGGCAGTATTTTGCTTAGGTAGCTAAAAATTCTTAGCAGGAAAATAAAATAAAGGCGAAATATTTTTCTACAATATTGTACAGGGCAACATACATGGTCTTTCCAATCTGTTGCTGTAAGACTTTGGAACTCTTGCTAATAAAATCAGGCTATTCTGTCTGATTTTTGTTGCATTTCCTTGATTTTCAACTTTCCTAAATTTTTCTTTAATCGCTTGTTATGTTTAAGGCTGGATTTTTCTGGAGAAAATTCTCCTTTTTATTTCATAAGGAAACTCCTCCTGGCAGGCTTCACAAAACTTAGGACAAAAATTTAATAAGGTTTGTAGTTCTAATTATTTAGTTATATGGCTTCTTGTCTGATTTCCTCTTATTTACCTAAGCAGTTATTGAAGATTTAAAAAATTAAAATCATGCTTAGTGCTATTCTCAAAGCAGATCATTAAAAAAAATATCCCCCACATGAAAATGTACTTGTGTTTTGGGGCACTTTAACTCCAATGAAGGTCGATATCTTGACAGGAAGACAGGTGTGTAAACATTCCATATTTGTGTTGTCCTTCTTTCTTTCTTTTTAATATATTTTTATTACTTACATATAGGTATATCGAACACAGTGACCATCCTGGCATTTCCTCCACCATACACACCAAAGTGAAAGACAAATAACATATGTACTATTTATACATTGCTAGTCTTGTACAATTATTTTTGACCAACATATTCATTCTAATACATATATAATATCTCACTCCTGATCTACTTAGCCTAGTTATTTCATGTTCCGACTCCTACCTCTTAATTCCAGCCATTAGTAATATCTGTTCCATGTGTCATAATATTCTGTCTCCCCTTTGTTTTTTAATTCTAACATTAATCTGTCCAATTCTGCACAAACTAATATCTTCTATATTATCTCCTTTTCTGAAGGAGTATTTTCACTTTTCCATTGCTTGGCGTATACAATTCTCGCTGCCGTCAGAATGTGTAATATTAGGTATATTGACCCTTTATTATAACCATCTATTATAATTCCTAATAGAAATAGTTCTGTTTTAAATTCTATACGTTGTCCAGCCATTTTTTCTAACCACATCTGGATTTGTTGCCAAAATTTCCTTGCTGTATTACAATGCCACCACATGTGGTAGTATGTACCTGGTGATCTTTTACATTTCCAACATTTCGGGAATATGTTACTAAACATTTTAGCCAATCTTGTTGGAGGAAGATGCCACCTGTAAAAACTTTTATAAAAATTATCTTTTTATGATGTGTCCAATGTCAATTTCCTGTTTGATTTCCAAAGTTTTTGCCAACTATCCAACTCAGTGTTATATCCAAAGTTTTTAGCCCATACCACCATTGTCTCCTTAGCTGGTTCTTCCTCCATTTTGTAGTCTAGTAAATAACATGATTGCAGGTATGATCACCACTCCAATTCTACCCCTTTTTCTTTTAATTCTAGTCTACTTTTCAGTTTGCCTTTTTTGTTTAATATATCTTTATATGAGACAATTTTTTCCCATGTTTATAAGGTTTGGGTGTACCAGTGCTTCTAAGGTGGAGAGCCAGACTGGTATTTTCATATAATTTTGTTGTTTGATTTTATTTCACACTGCCAATAGTGCATTTCTTATGTAATGCCTGTAAAATTATTGATGTGCCGTGCTTGTCCCATACCAAAGAAATTCAAACCACCCTAGTTGGATATCATGGCCCTCTAGTACTAATAATCTCCTATTCCTTAAGGTTATCCACTCTTTTACCCATGTAAGTAGTGTTGCCATTCTTTCTAAATTGCATTTCCACTCTTGATTATTTGAGCAGACTTTGTGAAGTCAGATTGAAATTTGGGTTCAGGAAAGGATTTTGTAAAGAAGTAAGAAACTTTGGGAAGCTTATGGGAGAAAAAGATTATAAGAGTGCTGAAAAATGGAGTTGAAAGCTCCCTTTATCTCTTCTCAAAGCAATCTTTGCAGATTATTTGAAACAATGTCAGCATTGTGAATCCAGTGATTTCCAGTTTTTTAAGCAGTGTGCAATTAATCCATAGAACTCACTTCCACTAGATGTAGTGGTGGCCATTACCTAAAATATTTTAAAAGGGAGCGGGTAAGTTCCAAAATGGCAGAATATTGGATTGCTGTTAGCATAATTGGTCTGATCCAGTGGGGCTCTTGCAGTTTTTATAGATATCTCTGATGTAAACATTATTCACATTTTTGCATCTATCGGTCCACTCTAAACTCACTCCAAAAAATTTCAGACTAGGATAACATACAGGAGCATTGAAATCTTAATTACAATGGATGTAACCCAGTGGTGGGATTCAAAATTTTTTACTACCAGTTCTGTGAGCATGGCTTATAATGGCTTTGAAATAGTCCTTTGCAGGGACTACTGAAAACTCCACTTATCTTTTTGGACTCCACACAGTAATAATTTTATGTGTGATAATTAATAACACAGTGGTTGAACTGTTGATTTGTGAAATGACATGCTTTCAATAAATCAGTTACTTTATTTCAGTTTCAGAAGAAGAATGAAAGTTTGACATGTGAAACCAGAGAGAAATGAAAAGCAAAGCACAAAGAAAGGTTACATATCAAAATAATTTCTACTTATTCTTTGAAGGGTTCTGAATAGCAAATATTTAATAGTCAAATCTTTGAAATATTTAAAATAGGAAATAGTTGTGCTAAAAGAATACAACCAATTTCATTACATGCATACATACGTATCTTCCTATTATGTTATAATATTCCTTTTTGAAGTAAATAGTTTTATACAAAGTGCAGAAAAGGCATAAACATAAAAAGTGTTTTAATAAATACATTTTAAATATAAATTTTAAAATAAATATTAAAAAAATAAATATATAGTAAAGACATGGTAAGAAAAAAAGAGAAATTTATCTAAATCTACTGGTAATATAAGCCAACACCAGCTAGTACACCTTTTTATGTCTTTATATCCTTGCAAATCATTGTTCTATCTTGCCCATGTACTGCTTTATACATTGCCTTTGGTTGCAATATATTCAATTTTCCTAATCAGAAATGCCTTGGGAAAAATCTCAGAATACCTTTTGTTTGGGTCAAATATTAATATAATAAGAGAATCAGTAATAAAAATAGTAAGTCAAATAGTTTCTGTAATTGCCTTATCAATAGGAAACTGTTGCAGCAAATATTGTAACAGCACAGTTAAGAATGGAAGAAACTTAAAAATCACAACCCAATGAAACACAAATACATTCAAGTACCACTGATGTCAGTGGAACCCAAATATCTTTCATTATTTGCTTTAGCTATATTAATATCAAAGGGTTTTAAAACAGACTAGATATGACTTGACTCTAGATATGGCAGTCTTTATCTTCTCGAAAGATAGTCATGCTTGACAAGATTTTATTGAGTGTTGCTTTGTCTATTCTAATCCAGGGGTGGGATTCTACCAGTTCGCACCTATTCGCTAGAACCGGTTGTTAACATTCTAAGCAGTTTGGAGAACCGGTTGTTAGAAGAAATTACAGGCCTAATCCTGTAAGGAAGGCAGGAAGGAAACATTCTGGTATTGCTTACAGAAACTGCCTCTCCTTTAACCCTTATTACATTCTTGGCAGGATGAAACTTCCTGTCTCAGGAACATCTCTGGAGTTTTTTCCCCCTCCTTTGCTGATACTATGCTTGTGTGGAGTGACCATTCAAAGTTACAATGGCACTGAAAAAAGTGACTTATGACCGTTTTTCACACTTACGACTGTTGCAGCATCCCCACAGTCATGAGAGGTCAGGCGAGGAAATGCGTGTCTCAATGTGAGTGATATTGAGTTGGCCATGCCCAGCCAATAACATGACCACCAAGTCACTTCCACCCAGTCACATGACCACCAAGCCACGCCCACCAACTAAGCCACACCCACAGAACCGGTTGTTAAAAAATTTGAATTCCCCCCCTGTTCTAATGCTACTATTTCCTTGGTTAGTTGTGTTACAGAGTATGTCCTCACAGCCATGCTACAGGTAGTCCTCGATTTATGACCAAAATTGAGCCCAAAATTTTTGTTGCTAAGCAAGAAAATTATTAAATGAGTTTTGCCCCAATTTAGCACCTTTCTTGCTGTAGTTTTAAGTTAGTAACATAATTGTTAAGTGAATCTGGCTTCCCCATTGACTTCACTTGTCAGAAGGTCGCAAAAGGTGATCACATGACCCCAGAACACTAGAACTATCATAAATACATGCCAGTTGCCAATTATCTGAATGTTGACCACGTAACCATGGGGATGCTGCAACTGTTGCAATTATGAAAAATGGTTATAAGTCACTATTGTAATTTTGAATGGTTGCTAAACAAATGGTTATATGCTGAGGACTACCTGTGTTTTCCTCCAGTCACTGAAGTAGCAGCACACTATACTTTGCACTGACCTTGTTGCAAGACCCTTTTCATCTCAATCAAAGTGGCATTATCCTTACATTGTCCAACTGCAATGTGGAACAAAAAAAAAATTAAAGAGATTCATGGATTCCCATGGGTTTGGTCTGCCCTTCCACTAAACATCAGGTCGGGATGGGGAGGTGGGGCTTTTTATTTGCCAGGTTTCTGATCCCACAGAGTAGTTCTGTACAACGAGAGGCTTGGCTTAGTGGGGAAAGAGTCAACATACCAACACCATCACTTGCCAACCTTCTTTGTCCTGGGTCAGCAGACTGCCCCAATAAACAATTCTCAAAGGTCAGGGGATCAGGGGAAGTGCACCTAGAGGAGCTTAAAATGGTCAAATGGGCTGGGAATGAGAAGCCAGCATTGTGAGGACATGTCCTTTAAAAACAGCAGAACAACCCGGCCTTATTCTTTGAGCCTAATGTTGTTTATATTTTTAATTTTAGCATTAACAGTTGATAAAAAAGATCCTTTAGAGGTTTGGCAAGTTCATCGAAGCATTGAGTGATTATCAAGCATGGACCAAGGATGAAGCTGAATAATTAACACTACTCAAGCACTTTTCACATTCCTTTTCTAAAGACTAGTATTTTTCTTAATGGGTACAAATGTTAAAGAGCCACCATTGCATATGGCTTTTTTTAAATTTTTTAATTTTTAAAGCGGCATTTTAAATAATATATTCTTTTACCAAAACAAAACAAACAGATGGTTGTTGTAATTATTCCATTTTGTATATTTTATATGTGATTATTTTTAACGCTTTGGGTGATTTTCTGGAAACGTTGGGGTGAGGGTGATGAATTTGTGTGAAGAGTCATTTCAGAAATAGTTAGAGAATATGAATGGGAACCAGATTCTGCCCCACTTTCTGCCTTCTGTCACTTTTCTCACACTTGACAAAACATCAATTTCAGGCTAGCTAAAAAATGTTTTCTGCTTTACTGGTCAGCAGCTGTTCGCAATCAAACAGCTTGAGAGAATTGAAACCTAGGGCTACCGCTCATTGCTTGTTCCTCATTCCATTTTCACAAATGCTGCTTCATTACACTCATTTTTATAACTTGAACTGTTCCCTCTAAAAACAGAGATTACTTCTGAGGAAATTAAGTCTGAAGTCTGCTATTTTTCCAGAAAGGCATGTGGCCTCCAGAAAGATGCCAAAACTTTTTGCCAAATGATCATTTTTAATGTGACTCCCAAAATATAAAATTATTAATTCTGTGCTGTAACCACAGAATTTATTTTAAATTGCATGATATCCTGTGATAAGGAATATTGCAGCTTACTTGTTAAAACCTTCACAGTTGGGAAAATCTCAAGAGGGGATAGAGTGGACCTTCAAAAACAAACAAACCCATTCAAAACAAGATGTCCAAGGCTGATAAACTTGGCAGAAAGGAAAGTTCATGTCTTCAGATGTCTGCCTACATTGGCCAAGAGATTCATAACTATTTTATAAAGGAGAGAATGATTATGGTCCAGTTTGGAGTGGAACCTCGGCTCAGCTAATACATCTCTTCAAACCATGTGTGCTACATTGGGCCAAAGGATACTATTAACCCAGTGCATTGTGCACACATAACACATACAAAGTTAGAATAGGCAAAATAAGCTGTTTACAAAAGATGTAAGTCTGGTTCAAATATCATGTTAAGCTATGATATGGTTTAATTTTGACTTAGTGTAATGTGTGGTCTTTATTATCATTTATTATCCACAGCTAATGGCTTTTGATATGCTCAGGAAATTTGGCTTAACACAATGTGTGAAAAAACTTTGAGAAAATATGTTATCTGACTGGGATAAAATAAGGTAGAAAAAGAACTTAAAGGGTTTCTGTATGGTGCATTGAGTTTTGACAACCGAGTCAAGATTAACCAATAAATGAAAAATCTTGGGGGGAAAAATCTGATGGGCAACATAGAAACAAATGAAATTTTGGCCATGCTCCTTGTAATGTACCCAGTTTATCCCAAAGTTTTGCTTAATTGTATAATAGGCTGCCCTTATTTAGGAGTGGCAATGGACTGTTTTAATTGTGCAGGATTCAATCTGGGTCAGTCACCAGGACCAGAGGTTTTGTCTTTGTTTTAATTGTTGAAGTACTGCATATTGATTTACTCACATATACTGCCCACAGTCAGCTAGATTGGGGCAGCTGATACCTGTTCTTAAATACAGATGAGCACCAGAAATATGTACAAAACAGGAAAGGAAGGAGAAATACCTCTGTGATGTTTGTTTCAGTTCTTCAAAACAAATGCTTAGAAAATATATTGAAATGGAACACAACGATCCAAGAGAAATAAATATCTACTATCTACCTTCTTCTTCACCTACCATCAAGGAGTTGCTAAAATGAGAATGCATGGAATTTCTGTTCTGAACTTTCATAAGTTGTTCTACTTGTAAATACAGAGCCGCACATAAGGAAGGTGCTGCAGTCCAAGGACATGAATGTTTCTTCTTAAAGATCCAAGCCATATGCCTGCTAGTTGAAATGCTGCTTGCTGAGTCACGGTTCTTTTCACAAAAAAGGAAATATGTAGGTGGGAGCTCAGACTTTTCTTGCACACAAAACAGGATATAAATGCAGCTTTCCTTTGCCAGAAAATAAAGCTGGTTCACTTAACAGAATAATAATCTTCCCGTGTTCATTATGGTAAGATGCTTTGGAGGAGCATACCTTGTATTCAAGTTTGGATTTTAATGTATTTCTCCATGTGCCACTTTCAAATAATTCTCCATGTGTTTGAATGAATGATTTGCTGTTTTTAGTCCATTTCTGCTGATCAAGAATATTGTTTAATCCACCCGGAATGTAGACCGCACAATTATGTAGTCCTACACTCAGTAATTGGCCCACTTCTGAAGGTTGCAAATGTTCTTATTTATGAGTTGTTGTTTGGAGGCACTTATGCAACAAATGAATTAAATGTATTCTTCTAAACAGCTGTAATTTCTTCTTAAAAATGAAACCAAAATGCACTGCTATTACGTTCTGTTATTGAATTTCTGATATTTATTCCAAGTCTCTGGGCTGCTTCCTTCTCCAAATTAAAGCTGATTCCATGAGGGGAAAATGGTTTGAGGCAATTAATAGGCCTTTAGAGGAAAACTGTAAAGAGCTTGCACCTGCATCTTCTATTCATTGCCATTATATAATGTATCAGTATATTAACTTGTTATTACACTCTTAGTGGCTAAGGCTACCATTCTCTTTTGAGAGCAAAATTCAAATTGTTTATGACCTTCAGCAGCTCTTGTAGGTTAACAGTGTATTTAAAAGCCTCCTTTTTCTTGTCATAATTTTAATTTTTATTAAAATACATGGCCACAGACAAAAAGTTGGAAAATATAACATAAATATAAATAGAATATAAATCTGTGAATTTGTGCCTATGACTAAGTTACCTAGATTACTGACTTTCACTGTTATGACCTAAAATTTGGCCACGGTTTTGGATGCTTTCAGATCCTGGTCATTTAGAAAGTACCACACAATTGCCAATCCAGATCAATCTTGTCCAGGGAGACTAAATCATCAGGACATCAGGAGACATCAGCAGACTAAATCAGTATAATTTTAAATGTTGCGTCATATATGCTAACAAGATACTAATATTTCAAATTCTCACTAAACTACATGGCATTATCTACCTAAAAATTACATGTACATTGATGTGTCCAACACTTCTCTAAGATCATCATAAGCATTTCTTATACATTTTTACACAGATATCGAACAACCAAGGTGGTCTCATACATCCTAGTCTAATTCCTGCTCTATGTCAAACTATTTGTTCTCATGCATACTTTATATTGTATTTTTGCCATGTTCAGTAATCAACTTACAGCTGTGCAGTGTTCTGTAATTCAAACCTATTCACTTTATCATATTCTTTTTCAAAACCACAAAATGTGCAATAAATTTTATTTCTCAGTTACTTGCTAAAGATCAAAAATATGATCTGTATATTTTCTTTTTGGCATAAAGTCACATTAAATACCCCAGATTTAGCTCATTGTTGCCTCTTGTGCCCTTTCAATCAAAATTATAATTTTTTCCAGGTACACTTACCTAGCTGATCTATTTATTTGTTATTTACTTATTTATTTACTGTACCTGCCCATCTCACAAATGTTACTTGGGCATGGGCAGCTTACAGAAGCAGAATAATTAAAACTATATTACAATATAAAAGCATCGTGCTGGAGCAGCCCATCCTCTGGGAATGTCTCTATGTATGCTTTACACACAGAGAGAGAAGTTCCCTGAAGGTGGGCTCCAGCACAAGTCCAAAAGCTTGTAAAACTAAATCTCTGGTCCTGGTGACCAACTCAGATTGGCTCCTGCATGGATGACATGCTTCTTTTTGCTTGGCTTGATATATATGTGTGTATGTTTGAAAGAAGATTAGATAGTAGATAATCTTTCAAGTTCATATCCAATCATTTCACAAACATATGCAGATAATTTCTTCTCAATAATACAGGTACTTCCTTCAGATTGCAGTTTTTGATGGTTTTTTTTTTCTTCCCCAAAGCGCCTCGCACCAGCTGAATCTTCTGCCTCCGCCACTTCCTGACTTGCTCAGAACACTTGCCCTTATCTTGGCAAGGGAGCTATTGGGGACAGGGTGGAGGAATCAAGCCCAGAAGAGAAGCACCCCTTTTCCTTCTTGTGCTGGTTGGGGGACTTGGCTGGAGAACAGTCCCAGGAGGTTGCTGCTGAGGGGTGCCTGTTTCCAGCTTCTGGAGTAGACATAAACCTGCTCCTTTGCCTCTCTAAGGAGGCCCAGCGTTAGGCTGAAACCCTTGCCTCCCACCTACCCAAAACAAGGAGAGGCAATGCCTTCCTTCGTTTGTTCTACTTGTTGATTGTAAGCTTCTCGGGGCTGAGAAGAATTGCTGCAAAACTGAGTTTCCTGAAGTGGGCTACTAGACTCCTAAATAACCTTTAAAAAAAACAATCTAGTAAAAAGAAAAATCAACCAAAAGAGCAACATGCAAACAAAAGCAAATAAAACACCCCCAGGAGCAAAACAAATTAAAGTTTAATTTGTGTGTATTGTTTAATGGACTGCTAAATTGGCCACACCCACCCAATCATATGACTACCTAGCCATGCCCACCCAACCGGTCCAGGCCCCCAACAGTCTGAGGGACCGTGACTTGGCCCCGTTTAAAGTTTGAGGACCCCGCCCTACCTGCTACATGCTTCTCAGATGTATCTTCTACTTAATTGTTTAATATAGCCAAGAACAGCAAGATGCTGCCACCTAGCTGGGCTTAATTTATATGTGATAATAATTTTATAACTATTAACCTACCTTTTAAACTGCAGATATTGTAAATTGGTTTTAAGCTGGTGTGTTTGTTAATAGTTCTTTTTAGCAATAAAAACAACAAAAAGCATAAAATAATCTGCTATTACCGATTTCGCAGCACTAAGCAAAAGTGCTTCTCCGTCATCTTGTATACCTCAATCTCCTAACTAGGCCCACCTAATTGTAGCTTTTATCAGCTTGGTAGGACAAACATCTTCAGCTTTTGCTTTTAGTTAAAGAAGATGGGAAAAGAATA